TCAGCCAGAAGGTGGACAACCTCCATCTGTCCTCTCTCATCGCCAAGACTGTCGTCAAGGCTTCTCGGTGTGGTCGAGCCCTGGCGTGTGGGCCGGTGGTCACTGCCCTGGCACGATACTACAACATCGACCTCTCCATGTTCACTATCATCCAGCCCGCGACGCCCTTCTCAAGGGACAGCTTACGGCGCCAGCTGATACTACAGTGCGACGGGGACGTGATCTGGATCCGGGGCCTTCTTCGCCCGGTTCCTCGTGCACCAGAGGGTGAGGAGCTCCCCGAGGCGAGTGATGCTGCAGCCCGTCGGACCACTCGTCGGACGAATCGTCGGACCACTCCCTCTGCGCTTGGCACCTCCACCTTCGCTGCCCGCCCGTCTGCTGCAGAACCCACCACTTACATTGCCGAGCAGCTGGCGGCCATTTCCCGCCAGAATGAGCAGATCCTTGCTGGCCAGGAGCACCTCAATGCACGCCTCGACCGTGAGCGCGAAGGTCGCCGCCGCATCATTTCAGCTCAGCATTACATGATGAGCTACTGGGACATGGATCCTGCTGCTGTGAGCTACCCTTGGGAGGCGTCCCCGGGGCATGAGGACTACTACCCGCCTCCAGCTGGCGACGGAGGCGATGAGCACTGAGCTGGCTCTGCTAGCCCATCGAGTTGGGCTCGGCTTTTGTCTTTCTTTCCAGACTTAGACTCCGTATTGTGTTTGGTTTTTATTTCTTGTTCCCGTTGTGTGGATTGTTGACTTGGAACTATGATTTCTTTCACCCAATGTGTGTGTTTTGTTGACTCTAGCTCTGTGCCCGTTGGACTGGTCCTTGTCCAGTCCTCTGCTATTGACTAGTCCGCCATCCAGTCAACGTTCCTGACCACTGTTTCACGGTAACAACGTTCCCCTTCCCTCGGCTCCATTGAGGACACTGTCGCATCTAAGTGTGTGTGTGTGTGGGGGGGGGTTCTTTGTATTTATTGGAACGTATATATGGATGCTTGGAGCCTAGTCCGCTGTCCGAATCTTACGATTTGAGGGCTCCAAGTACTGCTGTTTGATCATATTGGCACTGTGTTTTGATTGATGAATTGAATGGTTTTCGGATTGACGCATGACAGCTTGAAGGACAACTTATGATGAGGACTGAGACGTGCAGTAGAATTTTGCAGGGGTTCAGTTTTTCATTTGTTTGCTTACCAACTGTGACTTCGATTGATTACTTGTTCTTGACAGTCGTTTATGCATCTAGTTCAGGGTATCAGAATGTGAGATAGAGCATATAGGTAGCCATGTGAGATTTGAGCCTGCACGTTTCTTTCTTGTGCGATAGATCCCTCTTCCATGATGTGTAGCATTCACGTTGTCACTAGCTAAGATGATGGGGGCATAGGATTAGCCCACAACCAAATTGACTGTCCTGATGTGTCATATCCCCTAGTCAGCCCCTTTGAGCCGTGTGTTATCCTTTCTTTCGGTCTACAATGAAAAATCACCCTTTTGCATCTTTTAGAAGGTTCCACAGAGTGGTTTTTACATATTCTCTGTTGTTTCTGCTAAATTTAATGTGAGTGTCGGAAGTAGTGCGTAAAAGTTGGGCATGTGTTTGAAATATGTGCAGAAGTGGTGGCTTCTTTACAAAATCTCTAACCGTACAAAAAACCAAATTCATAGTTTCGGTGGCGGTGGCGGTGAATGTGACATATATTCATATTTATAGATTTTTAGAATGAGATTGGGTCGAATTAAGTGGTAGAAATGTTAAGGTTACCTTTCTGGTGTTGGAATCCTTATCCAATATGGATTCGGTGTGCACATGGTCAACCTCGTACTTGTCAGGTCGACCGTTTATACTATTTTCATAAATAATCCTGACACTCATGTTGATCAGTTAATGAAACGGAGGTCGACCTTTTCACTTATGTGGTCGACCTTTTAATAGCAAAATTGTCGGCCTTTGAGATGTTTGGTTCGACCGTTTATAATGTTCGCTTCCCAAAGAGGTCAACCATTTGCTGTAAAAGGTCAATCGCGTCGTTGAGGTCGAAAGTGAAAGTTACGGTGACTTGCAAGTCACCGTAGCAAAGCCCAATACTTTTTTATTACGCTTTTGATGTCATGAAAATAAATGTCTGTGACAGATTTTACCATGTATAAAAGACAAATCGTGACGTAGCAATATCGTAAGAGTAGCCCACATCAGTGATGATTTTACTGTCACAAACAATATATAGATAATTATGCGCATATTATTGTAAATTAATAAAATATAGAGTAGAATAACATACATAAATATTTACAATTCAAAATGAAAGTATTGCAACCGTACGAAGGAGCATAAAACAAAATAAAATTTCTTCGATCAAGCAGAAAAAGCGTGGAAGAACTCTTCATCATGCAATTCTTCTTCCCGACAATACTTTTCTTCGAGGAGATCGAGGCTCAACTCTTTTCATGTAACGGCATTACATTACAAACGGTTATTACAGTTAACTTGCAAAGATTATAAAAATCAGAGTACTAGGTCTTCAAAAGTTTATGACATATACATGTGGAGAATTTATTATAGCCACTAGGAATGGCAATGGGCAGGTTCAGGGTGGGTTTCTTGGTACCCAGACCCGCCTCGTGGCAGGTCGGATCCAGGTCGGGTAATTGATCACAGGTCGCGGGTCGGACTGATGGAGGCCTGGATCACGGGAAGGCTGATTTGTTAAGAATGGTGATTAAAGTGGTTTGATGGAGGCTTTGGTACGTGAGAGTGGTGGGATGATTGATGAATGATTATTTAGTGGAAGGTAATGGTAGCGAGGGTGATAATGGAAGTGGTTTGGTGATTGTGGTGAACGAATAGAAGGGAAGCAAGGGAGAAGGGTTGGGACGAGTAGGAGAAGGAGAAGGAAGAGTGGTCTGTCGTGTAGAGAGAGAAGGGAGGTTGGAAAGGGTTTGCTAATTCAAGTGTTTATTCTCTGATCATCTCAATTAACAATCCTACGTAGACTTATAGTCTTTTCCCCTAACAACTACCATAACAATCTCTAATTATCCCCAATTATTCCCCATAATCCCAAATCCTCTAAAATCTTCAATAAATATCCTTGAATAACAATAATAATAATAATGACGTAATTAAGGTAATAGACTGGCAACACGTCACTAATTCGTGCCTCCATCAGTCCCCACCGCTTCAGCCGAACCTTGCCCTCAAGGTTGACGATCTGCGTTGACCTTGGCAGCTTCTGCTGCCATTTCCTCTGCTTCATCCTCGAATGTCCCGACCAAGAGCATGAGGTTGACGTTGACACAACGGTGACCGACGGTGTAGCGTTCGTCACAGTTATAGCATTTCCCATCCTTCCTCTTGCGCTCCATCTCTGCCGGAGTGAGGCGTATGAATCCACCAGATGGCAAACGTGGTCCTCCCCTAGCTGCTGTCGCTCCTCCGCCCGCTGGTGCTGGCGGTAGGGGTGTACATGGGTCGGGTGGGTCGGGTTTAGTCATTTTAATCACCCTATCCATGCACTACAGTTTGGGAAATATCAAACCCAAACACTACAACAAATTCGGCCTCTTAGGACAAAAATTTTATTTTGTCATTTTCTGTTTGTCACAATAGGTACGATGATATGACAAAAATAATATATGTCCTATTTGGTATCTCTAATGTGACAAGAAAAATTATTGTCAGAATAAGTCGTCATTTAAAGTGAGTAATGTGACAAATATTTCGTGTCACAATTAATTTTGTCAAAATAGGCGTCCCATCGGGATGTAAGAGACTCAAAAGTGACAAATTTCTTGTTGTCAGAATAGTTCATCATTTAAAGTGAGTAATGTGACAAATAGTTCGTGTCACAATTAAGTTTTTCAAAATAGGCATCCCATATCAAAATGTAAAGAACAGAAAAGTGACAAATTATATCGTCACAATTCAGTTTCCCCACCCAAATTTCGGTCTCGCCCAATTTTTAACTATCTACTTTTCAATCCCTCCCAATTTTTAGAACCAAATTTTCAGCCCGCCCAAAACTTGAAATTTCCTCTCCCCAACTAAATTTTCATTACGCCCAAAAAATTAATAATAAAAAAAGTTATCAAATGGGACCAAAACAGACCCAAACGGGTTTTCTTCATCCATCGACAGTTCGACCTAAACAAGCCTGTCATTTCTCCAACCTCCAGACTCCAGTTCCACCATTGTATCCCGACGCCGCCGCCTACCTACACTCCTGATTCTCGATCAGCAACCATCGACCCCGACGCCTCCAACTTCTCCTTCTCCCGACCATCGGACCCTGTGGTTGTGGATTCTCTGGAAACTCTAGACCCACCTTCAGAAATTGAAAACATGGACAAGGACTGAGAGAAGAAGAAACCCACCTCTCGCTCTTCTCGTGTTGGTCGTTAGGTTTCCCCCATCTTCTTCTCTTCTAGATCTTGCCCCCTCTCTGTTTTCTCGGTTCTTCTTTTCCCTTGTTCTCGCTCTCTGAGATTTCGTTCATCTGGGTTTGATTTACTTGTCTCATCTTTGGTTCTGGGGATTTTTTTTTGTATATTGGGTGTGTTTACGATAGAAGAATGTAATGGAATCTCGCTTTAATTCGAAGTCAAATAGCCTGAGTTTCCCTCTGTATATTTCTCTCTGAGATGTGGTGGAATCTTACTTTAACTAGAATTCAAATAGCAGAGTCGGTTGGAAATAGGCTTCTCAAGTCTGCTTGCTTATCTTTTAGTGTAAAATAGCTTGAGTTAAATTGTGGTTTTCTAGACCTCTTTGTTGTTTGAATCCTTCCAAGCTTTTGAAGACAGAGATGCGGTGCCCTTGATTTGTAAGGAGTCTTTGAGGTCATTATATGCAGCATGCCTTGTTCTGTGTGGAGTTTTTGCATTTTGGATTTGCTAAATGTGAACAGTGGCTTGATGTGTGCATCCCTTTATTCATATGTCTATAAACTAGTGGTAATTTTGGTATGTTATGTTATTCAGATTAATTGAAAATGGCTTCAGAAATATATGAAGCCAATGAATTATCTGAGGAAGTGGATGAGGAAGTGGAGGAGCATGACAATTGAAGGGATGCCAAGAGGTTGGTAGCATCTTAAATCACCATTCTAAAATGCTTTTGGTTCTGGAACTCCCTCAACAGTAGCTTGAGTTTGTGGAGGATTAGGTATGTGCCTTGAATCAGTTTTCATTTCTGCATAGTATGTGTAAGAGTACTGTAGTAGATAGATAACTACTACTGATGGTGTTATGCTAAGCCTTTATCTCTAGAAAGAAGCTGGTGCTCCTCAAGAAGCTAAGGAAATTAAGTTCCCCACCTAACACACAAATTACCCATTCCATTAGTGAATTTAATATATTATATTTAGATAAGATGGGTCACAATTTTGATGTAAATGTCCTTTTTCTCTCCCTGGACATACGTGGGGTTCTTGATGGGTGATAGGGAGAGATGCAGAGGGATGTACAAAAGGGAAATTGAGGGTTAGTTACTTTGGGTTTCTAACAAGTACTAGGTTTGTGTAAGTAGAAGTTAATTTGGTTGGTTGGGAATTATAGGTTGGGTTCGAGGTGAAGAGTGTGAATTGTGCTAATCAATGGATGGGATCATTGAAGTCAAAGAAAGTTCAATAAGAAGGGAAGGGAAGGCAGCTAAGAAGGGTCTCCAGGTAAATGGGTTATGGTGTTCTTACCACTGATTGTGCAGGAATTGATGTTAAAGCAATTGCTTATAGGTGCTTGAAGATAAATGTATGAGCCAACTTAGCAATTTGTGACGAGGAAGACATTTGGTCGAATTGTGTGGTAACAGGGTTGTCTCAACCTGTGATAGATTTCAGCTGCTGGGTATGATAGATAGGGATTTTTCGAGCGACCTAGGCAAAACTATGTGAATTCATTGTCATGAATTGCCTTGTTTCATATGATTAGTTCATAGCAAACCATGTGAACTATATCATTAACATTTTTGTTCAATGTCTAGCTGGAGATGCAGTCCATTTGGATAGAAGCAAAGGCAGAGGGGAAGCTTGTATCAAGCCGTGAGATTGTTCAGAAGGTCCTGAAGAAAAAGGTGAAGTATGGACCGAAGGACAGCCCAAGATCCACAAAGGAGTTAGAATGTTTTGTGTCATCGTCGAAAACTTGGAATGTTTGGTTATGGTGAACAAGGAGTTAGACTGCTATGGAAATGGTTGTAATGTTTTGGATCTTTGGTAATCTTTCTATTATCAGGTTGCAATGCAGGAAACAATGAGTTAAAACCACCTTTCCTGACAACCTATACTCATCATAATATGCAGTTATGACAAAATATATTCGTCATATATTGAGTTATTACAAAATAGAGTCGTCACAATAAAAACTTGTGACAAAATGTAGTCGTCACAATATAAAGTTATGACAAAATATAACAGTGTAATATGACGAAAAATTCTACCAAAATCACCAGATTATGACAACTGTAATGACAAACTATGTCGTCATAACATCTTTGTTTGTCACAATAGACTACACAGAACCTCGGCTATACTGAAAGCAAATGTGATAAACTTGTTTTAATTTTTTGTCATATTTGATCTATCTTGACGGCGATAAAATGACAAACCTTTGTGACAACACATTTTGCCATATTATACATAATATGACAAAATGGCCATATAATATGACAAAATTGCCTCGTCATAACTGGCCAAATTTGTTGTAGTGAAACCCACCCAAAAAAATTTAAACCCTACGGTTTGTTTCTAATTGGGTTGGGTCGGGTTGGCGATATTTTTAAGTAAAAACCCAACCCAACATAAAATATATAATTATTCTACATCATAAATATATTTTATAACTAACTAAAATTTCAAACGAATGAACCAAAGTGAAAGGTATCAAAATTCACAAATGTTATTTAAATTTTAATAAAATGTGATTTACTTCAACATATGTCTTGTTTTTTTCATGATATTTGTTGAAATAGGCTCTAAATGTTATAAACAAACACATCCATCATATGTTATTCTATTAAAATTGTACACAAGAAAAATGATTACTTGAATCATAACTATATACTCAATTTATGTCTAAACTTCAAGTCGAAAAATGCATTAGATTAGGGAGACCATGAGAGAAAACATGGCGAAATATCTTAATTTTCTCATAAGTATATGACTATATACGACATAAATATTTTTTAGATCCGAACTCATACTAATAGTTGGAACACGGGTTGGGTCGGGTTCTACGGGTTGTGTAATCCAAAATCCAAACCCAACCCAAAAGAGGCGGATTGTACAAAAGAAAACCTTCACCCAACCCAAAACCTTCGTTTTAGCGATAAATACGGGTGGGTTGGGTCGGTTTGCGGGTGCATTTGTTCACCCCTAGCTGGCGGTCCTCCTCCATTTCCCGCCCCGCCGGCTCCCACCGCTACCCCAGCTCCTCCGGCACCCCCTGGTACGGTCGCGGCCACTCCGGTCGGCATTGGTTGCCTGCCTAAGAGCCCTTTCCAGCCGAGTAGCTCCTCCTCCTTCATTTTTGCCACCCGGAAAGTAACCCGCACCGAGTTAGGTTCAAACACCTTGACAGCCGCTGCAATCTCTGGTTTCAACCCAGCCAAACACAAGCCAACCAAGGTCTCCTCCGGGATGCCATAACACATATTTCTCAATCGTTCAAACTTGAACTGAAAGTCACTTACAGTGCCGGTCTGTTTGAGTTTGACCAACTGTTCCGAAGCCGACTCGCTCGTTCCTCCAAACCGATCAGCAAACTCCTCTTTGAATCGCTCCCAGGTGATCAACTCTTCTTTTTCAGCATAAGTACGCTCCAGCCACTCCCACCATTGTTGAGCTCCGACCTCCAAGTAGAACGACGCGAGGTAAGCTTGTCGTTCTTCTGGCACATTCTGATGCCGGAACCACCTCTCTGCTCGAGCTACCCACAGCGTGGCATCTTCAGTACCTGAAAATTTGACAAACTCAATAATCGGGGTCTTGGCGCGATACCAATTGTTCCCGTTGCCTTCTCCGCCGTTCCAGCCTCCTTCGTCACGGCCTGGCTGTCGGCTCTTTCGTCCCCACTGCTCGGGTTCGAGCACCTCCCAGTCATCCATACGATCATCACCTCCTCCTTCTATCTGCCTCCGTAGTCGATCCCCTGCACCATGGCTGCCCCCTCCCATTAAGAACCCATTGCTGCCGACCGGGCCTTCAAAACGCCTTGCCCCTCCGCCTCGGCCTCCTTTGACCGGATCGAACATTGGGTTGTGGTTTGGCCCGGTCCCACCGAATGCGGTTCGCCCCGCCCTCGCCCCGCTCCGCACCTCCGGCCCACACCAGCTCTGGGCTTGGTGGCCGATGCCCCCAGTTCCCTGTCCGGCCGTTCGGCCCACTAGTTGCTCCGCTGCCAGCGCCGACTCCCTGGCGCCGCCATCACCACCGCCCACCTTTACCTTTCCGCGGTCGAGCTGCCGCTAGGGCTGCTTTGGGGAGGGTAGGGAGCCCTCTCGCTGCTCGCCGACCTCCTCGATGCTTACCGGGTCGCTGCTCTTGGGATCGGCGACTACCACAGCCTGGTAGGCGGCCCTCCCGTCGTCACGTCGGATCAGGGTGTTCATAGCACGTAGCAGCTCCGCGAAACCTTCCTTCATAACGGTGGTGTTGGAGTTTTGGGCCGCAATCGCCTGACGACGATCCTCCCCTGCCATTGCTTCTGCTTGTTGCCTTGTTGCAGCAGCTGGTCCAGCTTGGTTGCCAAGAGCTCCTGCCCTTCGGCCAGCTGCCCGAGTTTCGCGTACACCAGCTCGGGATCGACTTCCTCTTGCACCAGGGGTATGTCAGATGACGTCTGTGATGCCTTTGTCTTGCCCATCATTCTGGTTTCCACTGGCATAAACCGAAGCCCGAGTACGGCTCTGATACCAACTGATGGAGGCCTGGATCACGGGAAGGCTGATTTGTTAAGAATGGTGATTAAAGTGGTTTGATGGAGGCTTTGGTACGTGAGAGTGGTGGGATGATTGATGAATGGTTATTTAGTGGAAGGTAATGGTAGCGAGGGTGATAATAGAAGTGGTTTGGTGATTGTGGTGAACGAACAAAAGGGAAGCAAGGGAGAAGGGTTGGGACGAGTAGGAGAAGGAGAAGGAAGAGTGGTCTGCCGTGTAGAGAGAGAAGGGAGGTTGGAAAGGGTTTGCTAATTCAAGTGTTTATTCTCTGATCATCTCAATTAACAATCCTACGTAGACTTATAGTCTTTTCCCCTAACAACTACCATAACAATCTCTAATTATCCCCAATTATTCCCCATAATCCCAAATCCTCTAAAATCTTCAATAAATATCCTTGAATAACAATAATAATAATAATGACGTAATTAAGGTAATAGGCTGGCAACACGTCACTAATTCGTGCCTCCATCAGTCCCCACCGCTTCAGCCGAACCTTGTCCTCAAGGTTGACGATCTGCGTTGACCTTGGCAGCTTCTGCTGCCATTTCCTCTGCTTCATTCTCGAATGTCCCGACCAAGAGCATGAGGTTGGCGTTGACACAGCGGTGACCGACGGTGTAGCGTTCGTCGCAGTTATAGCATTTCCCATCCCTCCTCTTGCACTCCATGTCTGCCGGAGTGAGGCGTATGAATCCACCAGATGGCAAACGTGGTCCTCCCCTAGCTGCTGCCGCTCCTCCGCCCGCTGGTGTTGGCGGTCCTCCTCCATTTCCCGCCCCGCCGGCGCCCACCGCTACCCCAGCTCCTCCGGCACCCCCTGGTCCGGTCGCGGCCACTCCGGTCGGCCTTGGTTGGCTGGCTAAGAGCCCTTTCCAGCCGAGTAGCTCCTCCTCCTTCCTTTTTGCCACCCGGAAAGTAACCCGCACCGAGTTAGGTTCAAACACCTTGACAGCCGCTGCAATCTCTAGTTTCAACCCAGCCAAACACAAGCCAACCAAGGTCTCCTCCGGGATGCTGTCGCAACCGTCCCTCCGGGGGGTCCGATGTCGTCGCGTCGGCTGTTTTTGGGAGTCGCCATCGATCTTATTAGGAGTGGATCGAACACTCTTCGAATCGGCTCTGACCTTAGGGCCATAACCGAGATATGGTCTGCGATTAAGAGATATGGGTTCGGGAGTACGGTTACGTGTGGGGAAGTTAAGCAACACCCCCACAACGCCCTAAATCGGTACTACTTAAGTTTGATAAGTTTATACAAGTTGGGTGTTTTTAATAATTATTGATATTTGTAGGGTCCCACTGGACCATTTAATGATTTTATCATATTAGTTGTAATTTAATTATACGCCCACTGACGTAAAAAAATAAAGTTAATTGGTTATTTGGACTCGAACCTTATCGGTTGCCTACGTACCCGTGTCACGGGATCAAAGTCCACGTAGTTCGTTAGAACTTTGATAGTTTAATTGTGACCTTTTCACCACGTTCCACCGAACGTAATTCTCGTATTACAATTTTGTTAATAAAATTTCATTTAGATTATTATGATGTTACGAAAATAAATGCAAGGATTTTAGTTATTAGGAAGTATTTTGAGGTATTAGAAAAGAAACAAGATAAACTTAATCCGCATTCAACATTTCGTATTAGGGATTTTAAAAACAAGTAAAGTTGAATGGGATGATTGAATTTACTAATGATGTGCCAGCAGCCCAACTGGCTAAAACGCCAGTCGTACAACACACACGATCGCGAGAGTACGGGTTCGAAACCCAGCTGCCACCACCTTTTTTTGTTTCTCGTTTTATTTCAGAGAAAAGGGGAAGGGTAGTTTCGAACTTTCACCAAAACACGTTGGCGGGGCCCGTTAATTTTCGGAAACCCCAAGGGTAAAACAGTCAATTACTATGTTGAGGTATATAAACCTCTTTTGGAAACCCTAATCCTAAACCTAACCACAAGTGCAGCCGCCTCTCACCCCTCTCTCTCGTCTCTGCTCTCACCTCTCTTCTTCTCTTCCAGAGAGAAAAAAAAACAAACGAAACCCTAGCCGCCTCTCTTCTCGCCTCGCCTCTCTCTCTTCTCGTTTCCTCCAGAGTAAACCGAAAACCAAAAAAACGAAGAACAATCGCCCTCTCCCTCTCCCGATTCTCTACTTTGTTCTCTGTGCTCTCGGCTAGCTAAGGAGTCCGCTCGTTTCGTACTAAATCAACCGAGAGGGTTTCGATCCAGGTAAGAGTGAGACATGCATGGTATTTTTTATTCGTTTTAGGTGATTTTATTAGGATTTGTCTAACTTTCTTTCGTTTTCTTGTGACTTTGAGGCTTGGTTTCGGACGAGGGAAAAGAAGCAGTGAGGAGGTCGCCAGACCGAGGTACGATTTAAACGTAGGCTCGGATCTGGTTTCGTTTTTGGTTTATCGGTTGTATTTTTGGATTTCTGGGTTCTAATATGTTTTTTTTGGTTGGGCGGAGGAGAAGAAGGGAATCTTTGGCGGCTAAGATCCCTACCGACAAAATTTCGCCGGCGATGAGTTGACAACGGCGGCGGCAGGTGAGGATTGCTTCGATTAATTTTTTTTTCTTGACTGGTATTGGTTCTAATTGATTCTGGTCTCTACGCAGGTTTTGAAATTGACAGGACTGGGTAAGGTTTCTAAACTTAGCTTAGTGTGATCTTGAACAAAAAAGATGGGTTGAATCTGATTGCAGATCTGGGTTTTCAATAAAAATGGTTATGTATGAGTTCGATAATTTTGGTGTTTGGTGATCTCGAAATTTTTATGCTTAGTTGCTTGGTGGATGGTTTTGGGATGCTAGATTTTTCTACAAATGAAAAAGAAAAAAAAAAGGGAATTTTCAATAACTGGGAAGTAATTAACATGTTCTAAAATTGATAATTTTGGCAACTAAAAGTCACTGCCTCTGCTTGTGACTTTGCCAAAATGAAGTTTGAAATATGAAGTTTAATTGTGTTTGGGTGATTTCTGCTGGATCTGGATCTAGATCTAGATCGGGGGTGATCGTAATCCTAGGGAAGAGTTTTTTTCTTCTTTCTATAGACCTTTGTCTATTTGAACTCTACTCGAATATTTTCATTCATTTACACATGATAATAAAGTATTCATCAACTATTTGCTAGATAGGAAGTTTACAACGTGACATGTTATAAAGTAGTCTATCAATTGATGAGAAAAGCAAGTAAATGCTCAATTGAAAGAAGCTTAATGCCAGAGTTGGGTTGCTAAGCGCAAATCTTGTATTAAGTAAATAGATAGAGTGCTTAAATGTAAAATAGTTTGCAAAGTACGACCATCGAGTATATAAATGGGCAAGTAGATAGACGATTACGACCGTACAATGATTGAGCATGAATTTGACGAAAACAAAAATGAGATCAGATCTTATTAAAAGGATGAAAGAGTTGGAGCACTAACCTGGTTGGAGTTTCTTAGCTTAAGAAAGGCCTTCCACTGCTTAATTCCACAAATTTCTGCGTCAATCTTGTGTAAAAGACGGATGTAAAGAAAAAATGAGCTCAAACTGCTTGTTTACTTCTGTAATGTAATTTTCTTTCTTTCCACTCCCCTCGTCCCCCAAAATCAGGAGCTGAAGAGCTCTACTTATTGATAAATCGTATGCCACGTGTTGCTTCGCCATTAGTCTTTGTTAGGACTTGAAATGCCGTGTTTCTTCCTGATAGGTCGAATTTTGAGGCTGCCCCAATAGCCTCCACCTTGCATGGTCGGTTCTGACTGTTCAGGGCCTGTTCAGGATAGGCTGGCACACAATTCGATGTTGGTTGGGCTGACGGATTAGGTTGGGCCGAGTTGGGCCTTGAATTCGTTTGGGCCGGTACTGGGCTTGGCCTAGTCTTGAACTTGGGCTCTTTTTTGGCCGAATTGGGCTCTGTTTTGGGTTGTATTCTGATCGTTTTCTTTTTTTCATTTTGCAGGTTTGTGATCTGGTTTGGGCTCAAAGTAGGAGGGCAATGACTTCAATATTGTAATTAGTTCTAATTCTCGCTTTATTTAGAGGTCATTACCCAAGTTGTACAATGTATCAACTTTGAATATTTGATAATAAAGCTCATTCCACTTCAATTAGTCCCATTTCAAAATCCAATTCCAAACTCGAGAGACAAAATTTGTACTATAGTCACTCTTTCATCCAACCGAGAATTTATAATTTAAGATTTGCCACTGCTAATCTTAACTTAAACCGATCCTATCTTAACTAATTAACTAATTATGCCCTAGAATCGACTAGGAGCAAATTTGGTAGTTGTTGGTTCATATTGACTTGCAACTGCTAGTCTCAACCAAACTATCTTCAGCTTCCTTTTTAAATATAACCGTAGTTCGATGTTACAAAAATTATTTCCAGTAAAATAATTATTCCGGACAAAATGTGGTGTCTACAGATGCCATAACACATATTTCTCAATCGTTCAAACTCGAACTGAAAGTCACTTACAGTGCCGGTCTGTTTGAGTTTGACCAACTGTTCCGAAGCCGACTCGCTCGTTCCTCCAAACCGATCAGCAAACTCCTCTTTGAATCGCTCCCAGGTGATCAACTCTTCTTTTTCAGCATAAGTATGCTCCAGCCACTCCCACCATTGTTGAGCTCCGACCTCCAAGTAGAACGACGCGAGGTAAGCTTGTCGTTCTTCTGGCACATTCTGATGCCGGAACCACCTCTCTGCTCGAGCTACCCACAGCGTGGCATCTTACGTAGACTTATAGTCTTTTCCCCTAACAACTACCATAACAATCTCTAATTATCCCCAATTATTCCCCATAATCCCAAATCCTCTAAAATCTTCAATAAATATCCTTGAATAACAATAATAATAATAATAATAATAATGACGTAATTAAGGTAATAGGCTGGCGACACATCACTAATGCGTGCCTCCATCAGTCGGGGCAGGTCGACCCAATGGGTATGCAATTTATATGAAAAACATTAGAAATAGGTCGACCCAACAGGTCAAATAGGTCGGGTGAAACGGGTCAGATCGAAATTGTCATCTGGGTGAAAAGAAGATCCAGCATTAAGAGAACATTAAAGGGAAAGACTTCATTATTTGTTTATCATCGGCTTTTATAGTTTCTGAATGTCAAAATCAAGAATATTGTTTTTTTCCCCCATTTCGAAGAATCAAAACGTAAAGCTCTGCCTAATTCCTTGCCTAACCGAGGTAGCTAGGAAGAAGCACAGACAAAATCCCACGACATTAAATAAACTACGTACTCAATTATTATATATAAGGCATATACGCACATCCAACCTCTAATTATAAGAAGATTTGGTTGGATATCATCATGTCTTCTTTCGATCAATCATCCTGTAGGGCAGTCTTGTTCACATGCAACGCAGCCATGCAAAAAGCCAAAAGAATCCCCAAAACGGACAGCTACATTAATTTTGTCCACAACGTAAATTGTGCTTTTGGCCAGATACAATAATTAATACGCTGTTTTCTTTATTATATAGCTGAGATATAATATTTACTCTTTTGGCATACACTGGCCGGCTGGGAATTTATGGCCTTGCGATTCAACGCGAAAGTTACAATACCGAACCATTTATCAGCCACACACATTCGATCCCCATCACTTTCGGAAAGGAAAAACTTTAGAAGAGCTTATAAGATTCTTATTTTTATTGCTGGACGTAATATACGATACCTTTTTTATTACCAGCAAAATCCGAAAGGTTGAAATTCGGTGTTTTCGCGGTCCTGTTCGAATCCTTCAGTCAAATGCCAATTTATATAGTGCGTTCAGAATCTATAAAAAAGGAATAGTACGTAAATTGCAAGAAATATCGCGATAGAAAGTTTTGGTTTCATAATTAAGCACGCATTATGAGGTTATTGACTGTATAGATAATAGATGGTGTACACTCTAGAAAAATAAATGTCACATGATGATGAGCTTGCATTATTTATTAATAAGGGTTAATTCCTAGAAGATGATGAGAGGGAATCGAAGGCAATGTTCGTAGCCACAATGGGACTCTGCACAACATGACTGCCGCCTCCATCTTCTTTCCACCGGAGATAACCGGAAGCTAGAAACTGTCTGCTCTTTCCTGTATTATCACTCTCAATTACGAGCTTGAAGCCGAGCTTCTCTCCTTTGCTCTTGAACTCTAACTTCTCCGGCACCACGCTGACCACCAACCCTTCCAGGGGCGTGATCGTGGATGTATAAATCGACACATCCTCACCAACATTCGTCACCGTCCTGCTGAACTCCAGAACCTGATTGGCATGAGAAGAAGAAGAAGAACTGTTCGCGCTGAAAAGCGCGATGAACGATGGATAGTTGAGGTCCAGAGACGGGCTGGAGCAGTTGTTGGTGGAAGATCGCGTGATGACCTGGATCTGCTTGGCGGTGAAGTTCATCGCGCACAGCAGGTTCACGTAATCGACTGTGGTCGCGTCGTATACCAGGCCCGGGTCCATTGCTTTGTTCGGGTTGACCTGACCCGCCCCGATGGCCAGACCCGTGGCCGGGCGGTTACCGTAACCGGAATCCTTGATTGGCTGGCCGGAGAGATCGAGAGAATCGGCCGTCGTCATCATTGCCGATCGGATGGCGGCGGGGCTCCAATCAGGGTGAGCTTTTTTTATCAACGCCCCGACTCCGGCCAAATGCGGGCAGGACATGGACGTACCGGACAGCAAATTGAAGTTCGAGTACACGGGCTTCGAGTTCACCTCCGCGGCCTCGACGTTGGAAGGCCACGCCGCTAGGATCAACGAGCCCGGGCCCATTATGTCGGGCTTCAAAACGAATGGGCAACTCGGCGATGGGCCCCTCGAGCTGTAACTCGTCACCGTTGGTGCCGGGCTCGTGTTGAGATTCGTGACTCTAAATTGCAAGCTCGCTTTTGGTTCGGTGTTGCTGCTCTTGATGTACTTCTTCACCGTCTCGCCGTCCTTCAATGTCATGAACATTGCCGGGAACGAACTCTGGATGTAGAATTCGATGTCCGGTGACGAAGTGGTGTTGGTTATGAAAACGCCGCCAATCGCGGTGGAATTCTGGACGTTGGCCATTTGGTCCCTCAGGGTGTCGTTCCTTTCTTGACAGACCACGATTTTGCCCGCGGCGAATTTGCCGAATTGGGTCGCGTTCAGGCAGTCGCCCATGAACACGATCGGAGCTTCGGCTGGAGAGTAGCTCCCCGGGTAAAGAGACGAACCGAAAACCGACATTCCGCTTCCGCCGAGTTTCACCTCGGCGCCGAATTGACGGTCCATCGCCCCCGCCGCGACGGTCAACACCCACGGAATCCCGTTGTGGAGCGAGCCGAGGAACGGACCTTCGTTCCCCGCGGAAGTAGCGACGAAGACGTTCTTCTCAACGGCAGCAAACGTGGCCAGCGCTATTGGATCCTCGTACAGAGCGACGCCGTCCAATCCAAGCGACATGGACAGGACGTCGACCCCGTCGCCAAGTGCTCGATCAATTGCCGCAATGATATCCGAGGTAAAAGCGCCCTCATCGAACAGAGCCTTGTACATCGCCACGTGCGCCTTCGGCGCCACTCCCTTGACCGTCCCTGGAGCGTATCCGAAAAACGAGGCGTCGTCGAAAAAGTTCCCCGCCGCCGTGCTGGAAGTGTGGGTCCCGTGGCCCTCCGTGTCGCGGGTAGAATTCATCTCCACAGTGATGTTTCTCGCGATCAGTCCCCGGGGGAAAGCACGAGCTCCAATCAGCTTGTTGTTGCACAGCGAGGCGTTGAATTGAGTTCCCTTCTCGCATTCACCTCTCCATTTTGCCGGCACTGGACCCATGCCGTGGTCGTAGTAGCTCTGGCTTTCGGGCCAGAGCCCCGAGTCGACGAGCCCAATGATCATCCCTTCGCCGTAATTGGACGCCTCCCAGGCTCCGGAGGAAGCCGTCAGGCCCAAGAATTGGGTCGAGTGAGTGGTGTCGTGCTTCACGGGCAGATCCTTTATTGAGTAAATGTAGCCAGGGGAATTCTGCAGAGCGTCGAGCTCTGTTGGAGTCAGAGTCGCGCTGAACCTATCGATGACGTGGGAGTAGCTGTAGATGAGGTTGGAGGAAGCTAAATTATTGTTGGCCGAGGTAGTTTGGGAAAGAGCGGAAAGAGTGGCTGAGTGCCAGTGGTGTGAAGCAGAGTAGGCTTTTGGCATGGCGGTTGGGTCCATGAAAACTATGTAATGGTCTACAAGGGAGCTCAAAGAGGAAGGAATGAGAGACAGGATGAGTACTATAAGGCTAGTAGAGATTAGAGAACAGAGAATCGAGTGAAGTGAATGTGAAGCCATGGTGGTGGAAGTGGGAGCTGGGGATGGTGTTTTAGGTGGGTGTTGGGGTGAGCTTATATAGGGAGACAAAAAGCTGAACCAATGAGAAAGGATGTAAACCTTTCAGAAACAATAATGGGGTTTTCTCATTTTTTAATATGCTTTCAACTCAACTTGTGGGTTTGGAAGGAAAAGTAGATTATGATGATATGTGGAGAAGTGGAGCCATGGATGATTGGAGCCTCATGTTTGGATTTTCTTCATGGGGACTCAGACCAAGTCAGCTGAAACCTTGCATTGCACACTTGACTTGGAGTCATGCATGTGCTTCCAATCTTGACGGGGGTGATGGAGAGGCGAGATTGGAGGAAAGAATCTTCTGTGGGATGGGATGGATAGAGGGAATGCGTGTGGAATTTTAACAGAGGAATGAGATGGGGTGCAATGCCTTATACGCCTTGGTTTGGTGGGCATAAGGGTCGGTAATGGTGTGGACCGCAACTTTGCTATACTAGCTAGCTAGCTTTCGGCAGTCTTGCGCGTGCGAGACGGGTTACTCCGGCGCAAACCAATCAACGAGAAGAAACAGAGATCTATTAAGGTTGTCATGTTTCTGTGAGTTTATTCTGTAGTTGAGTACCCAGCGGAGTTCACAAAATTTTGCTCGACATAAGAGTTTCAGTTCTTGCCTTGTATAATAAAGTCTCCCAATACTCGATTTCTCCATCTCTCTAGCTCTTATCTATCAAAAGCTCGACCAATTCCAAACATTACCGGGATTGTCACGGTGCAAATAAAGAATAGTTTCTGTCTTTCCACAAGTTTCAACCCAACTTGGTGGAACCGAACAAATAGAGTATGGATTAGAGTACTATCACTTTGTCGTATTTTTTGTACAAATAACATTTCTGATTGTCTCTTTGTGTGGGAGGAAAAATGAAGGGGAACTTTGACTTAGAGTCCACATATTATAATTCGAAAACTTTAAAATAATGATGAGACTAATACGTGAAATCATGAGCATGGATGATAATATTGTATATATACTCTATGATACATTGATATGGGCCGGTTAGATTGAAAATTATTATAATGTAGTAATGGATCTTTGGGTTTTCTTTTTAATATCCACGTAACCTCTTTGAATGATGATAGTGTTGCTTGTTTGTTTGTTACCATCACTGAGTTTGAGATATAATCACGCATTTGAGTCCGGCAAGAGTGGAGGGGAAGGGGCGTGGAGTATGGGCATTGGGCAGTAAACTACAAAACTGCCAATCAATTGGCTCATCTTTGAGGCAGACGAGACGACGACTCCACAGTCCACAACAAGAATGGGGAAATATGAGGTCGCGAGAGTGTCTCGTGTTGATGTGACTTGAATCGGATTATTAGTCGATACTATTGGAATAGTCGGGGTCTCGCTGACTGGTTAGCGAGTGGGGACGTGGGGTTTAGGGGTAACGCCCCCGACCTATGATGTACGGGCTCAATGTTATTTCTGTTCGGGTTCTGAGCCTGGGCCTGGTCTGTAACCGTTTTTTTACTAGATTGGATTAGGTTTAGACCTACATGGAGAAATTGGCTCTCCTGCCCGTGGACTAGCTAACACACATTGTGTTAATGAACCAAGTAAGTTGTGTGTCGTGCGCTTTCTGTTTTTGTTTTTTTTGCTCTGTCGATTCTATGGATTTTCCGACCGTAGCAGCGCGGTTATAAATCCAAAAATATGAATTATGTGGTCTCGCAAGTTACCATAGTTAACTTGGCATCTTTCGGAGGTCAACGGGCATGGCAGTAATTGTCTGGAGCAGAGTCAGGTTTCTAGACCGTCAGGCCTGGCCTTCAAATATTTGGATCAATTGAAGGTTTAGTTCGGTCGGCCCTTTCTCAATTTGGGCTTAAATGATGGATCGAATTGCGTTGGGTGGACCCGGAGATACTCGTCCAGTAGCAACCATGAGTCCAAGATTTGACTTAATGAGGTCTTGACTCTGGCGTACGCCAAGGGTAAATGACTAAATGGTATTCTAGTCACTTGCTTTTTTTTTTTAATGATAGTTATATAGTAGCTTTGTGTTTTTTTTGCATGTTCTCGTTGAAAGTTGAAACACATCGGTCATACTCCTTGCTTTGGGGATATTGATCCAAGGTCGAGTACGATTCGTACGGGCGCCATTATTTTCTTATAAGATTTTTAAAATCAATCAACCTAAAATAAAGGTATTTTATTGGCTAAGTTAATAACATTGAAAACAACCGTGATGGTTGAGTATGTGTGTTTGGTTCGATGGTGTTTGTTTATATACTCTTGATCTTTGGATTGTTGTTTGTATGCTTTTTTTTTTACAAAAGATAAATATATTGATTGAAAAAAAGATAGTTATACCCTGGAATTCAACAACTATTTCTTCAGACGTTGTTTGTATGTTCTAACCTTATTCATTAAGTGAGATCAGGGGCGGATCCATTCATACCTTAGGGTTGTCACTTGACAAACCTTAACTATAATTTTCGGACCAAGTTACTTTGTTGGAGTCTATGTTTGCGCTGGTTGTATTGGAACCCCAAACCAATTGACAACCCTTACAATTTTGAACGGAATGTTTTAGCCTTTGGGTAAGCTACAACACAATTGTTGTTATAAAAATACAAAGCAAATGTTTTATTAGTGATTTCAATTCTATAACCTAAATAAATTCTTAAATCTATTAAGGTTGTGTCACTAATCTGAATGTATTAGGCCTTCAAAGAATTGCAAACAATTAATGGTTTGATCTAGTGGTATAATTAGGGGTGCAAACGAGCCGAGTCGAGCCGAGTTTCGAGCTCGAGCTCGACTCGATTAAAAATAATCCAGCTCGAGCTCGGTAAATGCTCATCAACACAGCTTGTCAAGCTGAGTACAAGCTCGGCTCAAGATAAACTCGATTTGAAACCATTCTTGCTGAAAACTGTGTAAAAATAAGAAAATTAGAAATTAAAAATGATAAAAAGAACACTAGAAACTAAAAATAACATCTAACTTCCATAAACATCCTTATTAACAAGATAATTTTCATGTTCAGAAGAGTAATTAATCCTTCCACAAGCTTTAAACAAGCCAGCTCGCGAGCTTAGCTCAACAAGCCACCGAGTCAAGCTAGCTCACGAGCTTATCAAGCCGAGCATGGCCTAACTCAAGCTTGGCTCGTTTACTAACGAGCCGGCTTGTTAAACAACGAGTCGAGTGTCGAACGAGTTTTTTCCGATTCGAACGTCGAGTTCCTCACGAGCGGCTTGGCTCATTTGCAGCCCTAGGTATAACCATTGAACTTGAATCCATGAGGTATCAGATTTTGATCTATTAAATATTACCTAACTATAGAAAAGACAAACATATATCACCCTTATAAAAAATCAATAATCTAGCTAGGTCAATGGTTAAGACATGAAAATATAATTGTTATTTTTAATTTGCTTACTTATTACATTGGTGTTTGACTTTACCTATTGTGATTGCAAGAGTTCAAAAGATCTTTTCGACCACGAAATTCATCAAGAACGATCGTCGTAATTGTATGAGGGACCAATTATGAATAATTGCTTGGTTACACTCATTAAAAAGTGTGAGTCGCGGCAGAAGTGATGAGTGTATTTTAGAAACTTATATGAATAAAAACACATTGTGACCCCTTTGAAAATTGATGAATCTATGTAGTTTATGAATTTATTATTGAATACCTTTGATAAAATTTCTGGGTTCGCCACTGAGTGAGATTTTATCGACCTCTGTCGAAATCATTTAAGTTTTTATCAACTTAACATTTACGAGCTAAATTGCTAAAATAAGCCAAGATAGTCAATCCATGGCTTTGTTTAATTGTTCTCAATCCTTGTTTTTTCTAATATAATGGTGATTTAGATTTTTGTTCATCATTAGATGCTATTTAGGTGATTCGATATTGTAGTACAAAATCGCAAATGATTCTCAATTGGAGTATTGTTCCTAGTGAAAAACTATTGTGTTTATTTTATGAGCTTAATAATTGATTGTTTGCCACTAAAGATGTTAAATAGTCCCTGCCCCTGCCCCTGCCCCTGCCGCATCTTTAATTATCCCTTAATGCGAGATTATGTTTTAAGATCAACATTTGTGTGAGTCATCCTTATATTCTCACAAACACATATCTTAAACAAATTTCCATCAATCTATAAGTGCAATTACAAACTTCAACTCAGAATTTATTGTCCCACTTTTGATAAAAATCTTTCTCCTCTTCGGTGGGAGTTTTCTTTTCGCTCTTCGTAAAATCTCCATTCAAATCTCTATGTTCTCTCTCCGTCATCTCCCTTTTCTCTTTGCATAAATCACCGGTTTCTAGTGAAGAAGCATACTCCCCGGTTCAGTTTCTTAATTAATGTTTGCTGTTTGGTGATCAGTCTGCATCACTAGGAGTAGGAGACTATAGAAATGGTTGTTTGCCAGCTACAATCCTCATTTAAAGGCTTTGGCTTCGACCTTTTTATCGATCAGTTATATCAGAAAGGAGGGTGTTTGGAATATCAGTGTATTTGAATAACACAAGTAATAAAAATGCATAAAAATATACAGGAGTAATACTGGATGGATTTTTGAAAGATAAGATACTCTAGACAAATGAGTACTACATGTTTTTCTTTATTTGTAGTAATTAAAAGTCTTCCACTAGACTAAACTATAATTTTATAAATGGTTTATATATAGCATTTAGTACCCCTCTATTATTACAATTAATAAATGTACCCATTTACTAAATATTTGCACAAACATACCCTTTTAATATTAAAACGTTACAAGTATACTCCTCCGTCTAATGTTCTATTAATTGACCATTAAATGAACTTAAAAATGACCCAAATGCCCTCGTATAATTTGGTTTTTATCATTTTTTATCACAAGTCCCCCAATTCTTTCTATATGTAATTAGTGGGTACGCTTTTTTGCCCAACATCCTTACTACTGTTTCACTTTTTGGCGTGTTGTGCGTCCAGCCCTAAAACCTTCCACAAAAGAACTCCTCATCGACCCGCCAACGGGTCTCGCCTGCTGCAACTGTTCGTACATGCTTTCCCCCCATTCCTCAGTTGGTGCGTTTCCCCTGCCCTTTCGTCAACTTCAGCTGTCCTTTCTCCAGTTTCCTACTCTCTGCATCTGCTCCTCCACGCCGCTGCCCATGCTACTTTTGCATAGCTCTACCTACACGCGAAGGACCAATCAATTTGTACGGCAAACGGAGGAAACCATGCTAAGTTTGCCAAAGAGGTGGTGTCTCTCTGTTAGTATCCTATTCTCAGCTCCGCTCGCCATTGGAATTGGACTTTTGTTCCTACCTTTCTTTGTTCCCTATATAAAAATGCTCTTTCACCCCTCTTTCTTGCGTCAGACTTCTTCTGCTTGCAACAATGAATTACACTGTCCTTTCCAAATTGTGCTGCCAGGACGGAAATTCGTTGCGGCCTGACTTCGCCGAATTCGCGATACTTTGGACAGATGCTGGTTCGTACCCTATGTTCTTGATTCCTACGCCCAACAACAAATAGTTCTCAGACTGATTATCATTTAAGTACTTTTCCTTTTCTATCCTCGGGGTGTGCTGGTCCAGGGACTCGCGCCCCCGCAGCTAGCTTCCGGCCTTCAGGAAAGTACTCTTCCTTTACTTCATCATCTAATTTTCCCAACGAGAGTCCAGGAGCGGTGGGCTCCTTGCTCCAACGTCCGGAACCTTCAATTCACATCCAACACGTCTTTCCTCCATCTCCTGATGACGATTCCAATTTCTGTGCTGATAGTTTTGAGTTCTGTCAGTTGGAAGAACTTGAACCAATTGCTGTCGCGCCTCAGTTTTTAGTGGGTAAGTCTCCCTTGCTTCCTCTTAGGATACTTTGTCTCATGTTTCTGAATTGTTTCCCTTTTACTAGATGTTTTTGGACGCCTGGTCTCTGTCACGCCTATAACTTATTTCCAAAAGCAAGATAGGACCAGAAGGAAGCAAACTGTTGTACTTGAGAATGAACGGTAGGTTCTCTTCCACATTGTTCTCTGCTGGTGGTGTGTTTCTTTCCCAACTCTGATGTCGTTGCTAATTGTTACAGCAAAAAGACTCTGTCGATCACATTGTGGGCGGATTTTGCTGATAGGCTTGCCTTCCAGAACTGGTTCAGATGGACGTAGCTGCACCGGTTATTGTTGCATTTACTAGCCTGAATCTCTTGACTTGGCGAGGTTCGCCTTGCCCCACTTCTTCCCAATTCATTTATCAAGACTATAGTTGCCTTCTTGCAACTTGTGGTAGCCTGAAGCCTAGCTGCACACCGTTCTTGCTGTCTTTCTCATAGTTTTGTATAGTCAGTTCAACTTTTAGACTTTTCTTATACTATCTTCAGGGAATGTAGGTGCATCAAACATCTCTGCAACTCGCATTGTCGTGTCCCCAAGGGTATTGCAGACTCAGTCCCTGGTTGTGCAGTAAGTGGAGAATCGAGCATGGTTCTTCTTAACTTTACGTGTTACTAGCCTGAATCTCCACCCTGATCTCTTCTTTACAGCTTTGGTGATGCTATAGGGACCATATGAATTTTACCAACTGAATGTGACACTCCTCAGAAGGCTTTGACAATCTACCGTGATTCCTTCCGAACAATTCTGGAACTTCAGCTCATTCAGTCCACTGCTTCAATGGTAATTAATTCTCCATTGTGGCTACTGTGTCGCCCAAACTAAAACAAATGTGTTTAGCATTGTTGGGTTGCCTGACTTAGGTTTATTTGGAATTGTAGGGTGACAAGTTCCGCTGCAAGGTCACAATTACCGACATAGATACAACACGAGAGTGGTGCTACCTCGGTTGTGATATCAGTTGCAAAGCGGTGGTTCGTCGTGATGCTCCATTATGGTGTGACAAATGCGAGGCAACATTTATCCTGCATCAGCTGAAACAATGGTACGTCCAAACCATCTGACCACTTCTCTTAACCTATCTCCTACACTTTCAAGCTCTTTGATGTGTTCCTCGTGTTTGTTGTGGTTTTCCACACACATCTTTCGTATTCGACTGATGGGTTAGGATGATGATTCGGCATGCGCTCTGTTTATGTTGTTGGGCCAAACTGCAGAAACACTTCTGTTGGTGTCCGCCAATGCTTTATCTGCTGCTTCCCCTAATCGTGTTAACGGGTACCCTTCAACTAAATGCACTATGTAGCTGGTCATGCAATGTAACGTTTTTCCATGGTAGGTGGAAATGGATTTTTGCTGCAGAATGTGGTCGCCAGTGACAACTGCCTAACTACAAGCGTACCTTTTTGGGTCGTTTATCATTCGTCTTGATGCTTTTGCCCACTTAACTTTTGTGCTTTTTTGTGTTATTTCCTTGTTCTTTTTTGCTTTCGCTTGTACAGGTACTATATTTACATAATAAAGTTTAGTTCTCAGTTATAGTATCAATTTAGTAAGCCGATCAGACTTTTTTTACGCTTGCCATGTTTCAGTTCTGCAGTTTGCGAGACTCAGTTTGACCACTTTTTGCAGGGTCTTTGGTGGCTGATGGCGTGTTAAGGGTGGTCTACAGTTAGACCTAATGTTGTCCCCAGTCCTATTGTAATTAGAACAAGGTTCATGGCATGGAATAAACAGTACTTACATACCTTTATAATACTTTACGTCCACCTAATTCTCTCTAAGTATTCCATTCTTAGGTGTTATCTATTGGTTTATTTCCTCTGCTCTTGGTACCATGTCAATGTATTTTATTGAAAATACCAGTTATAGAACTTCATATGTTGCCGTTCTTTTATCTATGTTGTGTTGGGTTTATGTAATTTGACTCTATTGTGTACCCATAATGGAATGTGTTTCGTCTGGTTTGTTTATAAAAAGTATGTGATGGATTATGTAATTTGACTCTATTGCGGACCTGTATCTTGCTTATGTACTCTTTTGATTCAACAACACTCATTTTGTCCAAGCATGGGAGCAGTTCAGGTTAGTGATTTGGTGTGCATACATGTAGCGTACCACTTCCTTATGCTAGGTTCCCTTAACATCGTTGCCTGCTTTCTCCACCATTCTACTCTCTATTTTCTTACATGTTCCAAAATTTCTAGGTTGATGTCTGCTTTGTAAACTTACAATGTTTGATCTTGACCAAAAACCCATCTTGACCATGACAACAAAGATACCCACTCCAAAATCTGTAGATCAGGATTACATGCTCTGCTCTAAAATACTACACCCCGTCACTTTTAAATTTATCAACAATTGGATTTCCATCTTGCCAATTTAAAAAAATGGCATTGGTATCATATGCATTTCGGTCACAAGAACGAGACGACAATGAGAAGCCTTGCCAAGAGGTATATATTAATTTGGGCCCACCAATGTACACTTCATCATTGTAGTCCTCAAACCAAAACTGGGCCTGAACTTCTCTTCGCCACCAATTTATCAAAAGTCGAATACAAATGGACCAGAAAATGTCCGTCGACCAAACAGGGCCGATAAAAGGCCCGTCACCCTCTAAACGGAAATGGGCCCATAATATCTAACTACTGCATTGCTTGGAAGATCGTTCCCTTCAGATTCGTACAGCAACCGTCGCCTCCTTCACCACCCTTGCACGTCATGGCCTTCCCTACCCTCACCCTACGAGTGTATCGGTTCACATTGCTTCCATCACTTCCAACCCCCCTTAAACCAATTTGCAGGGATCCATTGTAGCTGACAGTACTACCTCCACCATCGCCCTTTGCCTTGATGACCATCCATCCCATTATCCTACAAACCTCATTTTATACGGCATCGCTTCAATCTCACCCATCCTCTGAACCCTAATTAGTGTTGCTTTCTACCAAAGGCCATGCCTCGGACAGTGCCAGTCCTTTCTACCTAAGGGAGACGGGAACCCTATATTTATAGATTATACAGTTACCTTCATCTCATTGGTAGTTTATTTATATATGCTTCCTTAACCACCTCTGTCATAAAATAGGGTTAATGTCTGTTTATTAATTTTCTTATTTTATAGTCTGCTTCCTTAAGTCTAAGAGCTTATTTGTTTAATTGCTATCACAAGCGATACACTATCATACGATTGAGCTTTTGAGTTTTGGTTTTCAACAATAGACAGGATCAAGGCAAGGGGACAATGGACAAGAAATCTTGAATTGTGGAATTCATTTGTTTGTTAAATATTAACGCAGTCTTTGCAAATCTTCATTATGCATATCTTATTGTGGTTTGCATATTGCTAGTCTACTGCAAGTTTAATGAATTTTTGGAGTTTAGTGAATTCTAGCTAGAGAGTCTTCTTGCCCCTTCCCCAATTCCTTGCACTAATGAATAATGGTGAAAAGAAAACACCCCACCTATAGCCTGTCAAAAAAAAAAAAAAGAGAGAGAGAGAGAGACTTCCACAAGTACTAATGAACTGCCCTTCACGTTACCTCTCACTACTGACCATGAAAGTAGAAAACTTCACCTTCCCTCTCTTTTCCTCACAAATCATTCTCCATACTCCATCGGGTCACCCTCTCCGGTCACATCCCTCCTTCTCCAATAACTTTTCTTTTCAATCACCCAACCTTCCATTGTCCTAGACTCCCAGCCATGTTAATCCCTTTTATTCTTCCTCTCCTTCACATCTGACAAAGAATAGTAGAAGACAGACAACAGGGGGAGCAGAAGTGGTGGTGGTAATCCTAAATGGAGTGGAAACATAAGGCAATATTATGCAATCTAAGGAGGTTAGTAGGAAGGTGAAGATTGCATATAGAAGGGCAAACTAAATAAAGAATAGGTGAAGAAATTCAAGGTTGACCTTGGAGATGTAAAACTTGAAGTTTATGTCATTCTAAATTTAGAGACAAAAAAAATGAAAGACAAGCTAAAATTAGAGAGTCCAACGCCAATCATCCCGGCTGCACCGAGCTTGTCCTTGGCAGCGGCTGGAGCAAGCTTCAGCGGGCGGCGAGCACGATGGTGGGAAGCGAAGAAAAGCAGTGGGTGATCGTTTGGTAGGGTTGAGAAACGACGAATCCGCCGCCGGAGACTCCGGCTAAGCCTCTGCGACGGCGGAGCTAATGAGAACATTATTTTTGCGCTGGAAAATCCTTTTTGACTTTTTGTTAAATGGTTGCTTGCTTGTGCTCACCACTTTACTCTTGTTATCTTTTTGCCGTATTTTCATGTCTGTTTGATTTAATATTCGAAAAACTGCAATGTATTTCTTGGAGGCCTTTCGCAAGGGTGATCTTTTCCTTGTGAGGGGAGAGATTGTGTGGTTGCTTCCATTTATTAAACCGCAGCTCTAGAGTCCAAAGTCCATCTACTAGGGTGTCGTCTGCTTTCTTGATGGAGGGAGAAGAAGCTTCAGAAGTCGACACCGGGAGAAAGCTGGTTGCTTTTTGTCTGCTCCGGTCGCTAACCGCCCAGCCGCCGGCGAGAAAAAACAAGATGCAGCCGCTGTCAAGGGGAACTTATAAGCAGGGTGCGCCGGAGTGTGGGCAGTCTTCGACGGCGGCGGGCGCGGAAGAGAATGGTAATTTTTAATTGGGCTGATAAAAAATGATAAAAACAAAATTATATGAGGGCATTTGGGTCATTTTTAAGTCCACTTAACGATCAATTAATAGAAAATTAGACGGAGGAGTATACTTGTTACAGTTTAATATTAGAAATATATGTTTGTGCAAAAATGTACGTAGTAGAGGGATACGTTTATTAATTTGCAATAATAAAATATACAAAATGCTATTAACCCTTTTATAAACCACATGCGCAACTAAAAGTACAGCACTTGTTTACAAATACACACACCATTACAGACCCCGAATGTCATGTGGAACTTTTTTTTTTTTTTTATACGAGTTAAAGTATCTTATTTCATAAAAAGAATGAACAAACATTCGTGGGAATCTACACAAGAAAATAACTCACACGCGGCTCACTGAAATACCAGCAATATCTTGTGGCAGCTGACTACGTACTGATCCATAGCCACAATTCAGCAAGCCCCGGCCTTGTAAGCAATGAAGTAACATATTGTCCACAGGCCACAGCTGCGATCAACTTTGTCTTGGGCGTGAGTTATTCCGGCTACAGAAATGGCACGACCAGTGGATCGGAGTTGTGCCATGTGTTCGCATCACAATGCAAAAAGTGGCCGGGTGCCATGTGTCCACATACTAAATGCGGTGTGAATTGAATTCCATGCCACTTTGTACACAGTAATGTGAGCACGGAGCATAATTCCACTGGCTATGCATTCTCCATAGCCAGAATAGCTAGTGCCCATAACAAAGCTGCACATATTCATCAAGGATTCTTGAGTCACATGAGGTGCACTTTTGGGGCTTGTCGAATAGCTAAGTGATTCTAGTCTAGGTGAATTATGTAAGTTTGGTATTGGGGATCAGGCTCAATGGATGCCACAACAAAATGGAGTAGTCACAGAAAGTTGAGAAGAACGAAGGTAGTTGTAACAGCCGTTGTTTTGTTGATATGCTTAGCTTTGAGGTGCTTAGCTCCAAGGGAAAAAAAGATGGATGGAAGTTTGATGCAAGGAAAATGAGCTGCAAGCCTGCAACTATGGTCAATTTATATACAAAGTGAAAAGGTAGGAACAGATGAAGACTCTGTCATCTGTAAATGTGGGAAGTTGTTTCAGGGTGGAAGGAGTCTGATACCCAAAATGAGAAGAAGTAGCAGAGTTGAAAGTTATATCTCCATCAGTTGTCTTGCTCTTTTTCCCTTCCCGTGAACTTGAGATCAACCTAGGTTTTGAGGAATTGACATCGTCACTTTCTCAACAGCCACAGAACGATTTCCCACTCCCCAAAAACGATTCAACTTTCCTCTTCTATCAATAGAATAGTTGAGACAGGTATAGGTGTCAAAACAGAACTCGATCCGAGTAACCCATTCGATCAATTCGATCTGTAATTCGACCGTAATTTAAATTGGCTAAAAGTCAACGGTTTGTAATCCGCCTGATCTATAACTCGAATGACCCGCAACTCGATTAACTCACAACCCAATTAATTCAAACCCGATCGACCCGCAACCCAATTAAATTCATAACCCGAATGGCCCGCAACCCGACTGGCTCCAACTCAACTAAGCAGAACCCGCTCGATTGACATGGATAATTACTATATTATATCACA